TCAGGACCCCAACATATCTGTTTGGGGGGCACACAATTCAAGCCCTAACACTCCCATTTCCTAATAGAGGAGTAGACGGGAGAAAGGGGAAAGAGGACAGTGAGCGTAGACCACACGGGAGGGAGGGCGAAGCCAGCCTGCTCCGTGCACGCTGGATTCATCTTCGTGGCTTGCATCATGGGGCGTGTTGGGCCAACAGCACACGGGCATCAACATGCAAAGCTCACACAGAGGCAAGGGGGCCAGCGGAGGGGGAGGGTTGCGGGAAGAGGTCTGGGCCAGGGGACCTGGACAGCACGTACAGGACAGCTACTTCCCCTCTGAGATCCATCCCCAGCAAGCAGGCCTCTTGTCCAGCTTTCCCAGGGCGGAAAAGGCCCCCGGACCTTAGTGCCTGACCGTAGTTCTTGGTTGGGGCAGCACCATGGCCTCCCTCGATCTCCCCAGCCAGGGCTGGGTCCCCCGGGGATGCCAATCAGAGTTACCTCTCCAGCTAGGATTGCTAGAAATTTAGCAAAGTTTAGATTTAGAAAACAAAAGCAATTCTTTAAAATGTGTGCCCAGCTAAATGTGAATTTCAATTTCAAATAACAAATGTTGCATGGGATATACTTAGACCAAAAAATTATTTGTTATTTATCCATCATTCCTAAATTTTATCTGGTGACCCTATTGCCACCGGGTTATGCTGTTTGCTCTTCTATTGTCATGCAACCAATTCCCCGCATGAAACTCATAGTGTTGTAAACATTTCCAGTGGTTTCTGTAATAAATTCCTAGCGGACCCTGACCGAGTTAGCAGAAAAACGAAACAAAAACCCTGGGAGGAAACACAATGAATTGTTACCGATAGTTGGGTTATCTCCAGTTGGTGAGCTTGCCGGTGGTTTTTATTTTTTTGTTTGCACTTTCCTATACTTTCTAATTTTTTTTCAGCCAACATTTATTTCATAGAAAATATTTTAATGATTGAAATAAACAACGCTCTGTGCTCCTTGGAACCCTAAGTCCACAGGCCGGCTTCTGCAGGTATGGGGGGGAGGGAGAGAACTTTGTACCTGTGGGTCCCAGGCCGTGTGAATGATTAACCTCGGTTTAAGGGCCTTGGGGACAGGACAGGCGGAAAGGGTCAGAGCTCGCAGAGATCTGGCTCCCGCACTCGAGCTGTCATGGTTCCGGGAAACGGTCCCCAGATGCGGAAGGAGCCGGTAGCCACCCATCCCCGCCCAGGTGAGTGAGCGGCACCCGGTTGTCTCCCACGTCGCTGGACACAGGTGGGGCCCTCCCAACCTCAGACGCTACTTCTTGTCCCAGGTGAGGTCAGCGTCACCCAGCACAGGTGGAAACGGGGCACCTGACCATTTCCACGGCCAGAGGCCACCCGTGTCGGGAACCGCGTCCAAGGCCTTCCCTGTGGAGTGGGGGACCCAGCGCCTGTGCTGGGCTCCAGCCCTGGCTTCCCAGGGGGCACCTCGGACCCCTGCGGCCACGTGACCACATCTGCAGCCCCTCCCCGGCCTCACCCAAGCAGGCGAGACCGCCCGTTTCTTCATGCTGCCGCCCCTGCGGAACAGCGGGGCGGGGGCCAGGGTGGGCCCTGTGTGCCGTCTCCGCCCCAGGATCCCACCGGCGGCGCTGGGCCCCGCCCATCACACGATCCCACGTGGGAAGAGCAAACTCGCCCTAGGGGAGGGTGCCCTGCCAGGGGGGACATGTTTCCCTGGCTCTTTGCACCCCACCCCGACAGGAGGAGGAGGAAGGTTTGTTACTGCCTCCTCCCTGCAAGCCTGATGAAACAAAGGACGTCAGCCCCGGGCCTCCTTGGAGGCCTCTACTCCCAGGCCCTCTGTTTACAGATGAGGAAACTGAGGCACGGAAAAGCTGAGTGAGGCCCCAGAGTCACAGAGCAGCAGGGTTAAAACAAGCTCCCGGGGATCTCCTGGCTCCTGTTCCCCTCTCACCTGGGGCCGCCCCTTCTCCTCCCCTCTCCCCTGCCTGCTCCTTGTCCTGGAGCAGGGGCGTCGCCTCTGTCCCTGTGCTGCAGCAGAGCCTGGGACACGGTGGGGGCGGGGGAAGGGGGCACAGGGCAGGTGCCCCCCTGGCTCTGGAGAGCACAGGGTGAGTCCCAGCACCCTTCCGAGGGGTCCTACTCCTTATGAAGAACGGCTGTGGCAAGGACAGTGACTGGAACCGTTTGGGGAGCCCGTTTCTGAGTTGGGGTTTTGCACGGGTGGACTGCGTGGCCTCCTGCCTGCCAGGGGCCCACAGAGCGCAAGGGCAGGTTGCTGCCGACGAGGAACTTAGGAACCCAAGACGTGCAGGAGGTCACAGCTGAATAGGTGGCGTTGCATCCACCGCGCGGACTGTACTAAACCCGCGCCGCAGGGTATTCGCTGACGCGGGAAAGCGTCAGAGCCTGCTGCTGAAGGGAAAGCAAAGTTCCCAAGGCAGTAAGTGGAGTATGACCCCATTTATTTTGTTACAAAGAATACGAATGTATCTGCATGGAACAGAGTCTGCAAAGTGCTCAGTTGTAGCAATGGGGGTGTTTTTTTCCTCGTGTTTCCTGGGTTTTCCAGGTTTTCTACGGTGAGCAAAAAAGAATTTATTTTTTTATAAATAAAAAAATCTCTTTTAATCTAAGGGAAGAGAACGCCTGTGTAGAAATGACTAAGAACAGATCTGAGAGTGACCTCAGGTGACCTGTGTTAACCTCTCGGAACTCTAACCGGGGCGCGCTGTGCGTCCTGCGGAACGAGGCTCCGCTGACACAAGGCAAGTTCCCAGACTGGTGTTTGGCAGCGAGTGCAGCGCTTTGGGGTTGAGAGAACCCCTTTACCCTGGGCTGCCCCGGCCGGAGAACACCTGCCATGGAGGTCGGGCAAGTCACCCCCTGCTCTGACTCCAGGCTCACCAAGAGTCCCGAAAGCAGCTGGGCGCCCAACCAAGATGTGCCAACTAGGAGAGAAGAACTAGATTTGCAACACAGCATCCAGTGGGCTTGCTCTCATCCCTTCAGTAAGTTCTAAATAGAGTGTGTGGTTTATACATCAGTCTCCTAGGAGTTTTGTAAATGTGACTCTGACCCCAAAGACTTCCAACTTCTAAGTCTGCTGTTGAAATCAAATTTCTGAGCCTATAAAGCAGAGTAACAGATTTTGGAACATGGCGGGGGTGCAACTCAAGGTTGTGCCATCCTGTGGGGGCTGAGGCCTTTCTCAGCAACACCTTTTCTATCTATTCTGCCTTTTTAAACCATTACAGATCAACAAAGTGCCCCTATCAAGCCATCTTCTTGATCCCTGCTTCACACCGAGCATCTGTCCTGGAACCTCCCGGAGACACTAGCCTTCATGCTCTGCGGAGGATTCTGCTCGCAGAGTTGGCCTGTGGCGCAGCAAGGTGGACTCAGTGAGCAGTAAGCGTGCCGTCTGATGCACACACTTGAAGAAGCCTTGCTTCAGTCAAAATGGTCAGCCCAGTCTCAGGGCGGTTTTGCGCCCTCTATGACCTCTGATTTCCTTCTGCACAAAACGTAAAGCTCGGAACATGATAGAAACGTTGTCCTCCTCCTGCCGGACGGCCCTGCTGCCTCCCCCGCGCGCAGTGGCAGCCAGACAGACATGGCCGCCTCCAGCGAGCGTCCCTCCAGACCACACGTTTCCTCGCTGCTTCCACGCCCCCTTCCTAAGCGCACCTGGAGACCTGGGACTAAGTGGCCATGCTGGGGCTCCCCGTGCTCACGCACACGCTCAGAGCAGGGGCCTCTGGGAGGCCGGGGATAGCCGCCTGGAAGGCCAGCCGCAGACGCTCATTCATGTGCAGAGACACTTTAAAAGTCAGAGGGCAAATCTTGCAGTCTGGGGTGGTATTCCTTTTAAGGAGAGAAAACATGCACTCATAATTTTGAATTCTTTTTCTCCGTATTTTTAGAACTAGGAAATACTGACTTTTCCTGGAGTGACCTTAAAGTTACCAGGTGACAAAAGCAACCTCATTTGCCTACGCACACAGCCTGCCCTGTGTTCACTCCCACATCCACGGGGACATTCAGTTGAGTCTGTCCTCCCTGGGGACTATTACAAGGTTAGCACTCTCAGGCCAGGCTCAGTGTCTCACGCCTAGGAGGCCGAGGTGAGAGGATCACTTGAGGTCAGGAGTTCGAGACCAGCCTGGGTAAGGGCGAGACCCTGTCTCTACTAAAAATAGAAAAATTAGCAGGCACAGTGGCATACACCTGTAGTCCCAGCTACTCGGAGGCTGAGGCAGGAGGATCACTGGAGCCCAGGAGCTTGAGGCTGCAGTGAGCTATGATGACACCGCTGCATTTCAGCCTGGGGGACAGAGTGAGACTCTGTTTTTTTAAAAAAGTGATTAGTACTCTCAGGGGAACAAGGACAGAAATCCTACTCAGACTGTCTTAAGGCAAGGGGGAGATGGAGCAGCCCCTGTAACCCGGAGCCAGGGTCAGCCCCCTTCTCCAGCCGGCTGTCCATGTGGAGGGACAGGTGGCCCGGGAGCTCTGGGTTCATAGCCTGTGCACTGGGCAACCCCAGGGCAAATGGGCCAGATCTTTCCAGATGGCACCAACAAAGTCCTGGGAAGGAGTCTCGGGGCCTCTGGTGGAATCACACATTCATCCCCAAACGAGTCTCTGGGGCCGGAGGGGTAAAGCGTCTGGCTGACTTGGGCCTCGGCTGTCAGTCCAGTCCTGAAAGATCAGGCTCGTCCCGAAGGAACCACATGGACCAAACGTGAGCGCACGTGTGCCTGTGCCCCTGAGTGTGCGTGTGTGTGCGTGTGCACGCCTGTGTGGGTGCGTGCCCATGGGACAGGGCAGGCCGTGTGGAGAGGTAGAGTGATTGTGCGAAGCAAAGTGAGGGGCTGTTGCTAGAAGACATGGATGTGGGGAGGGAATGGCCCAGACTGTCCACCACAGGGACCAGACACGTCAAGAAGGTGCCTATCACTTCTTTCTCGGTGATGGTTCCGTTTTCCATAAAGTGCTTGGTCCAGGAATGAGCATGCGACTCCTTCTGGCTTATAAGAAATAAGGTGAAGTTGTTCAAACCTTCTGGGCGAAGCAGGATCCTGTGATAAAAGAGCTGTGAGAAGAGAAGCCCCTTTGTCACCCACCCCTCCTTTCTGCTTTGGACATTGTCCTAGGAGGATATGATGCCCGGAGCCCTTGCAGCCACCTTGCCACTGTGGGGCAAGCCAAGAAAACTCACCAACTCCATGGCCTCCCTTCAGACTTTGTGAGGCAATTAGAAGCATTGCTTCAGCCTCTGAGAGTTAGAGATTCTGTGATTTAAGGCCCAAAGCACCCTAATGCTGCCCTCTGTCACCACAGCCATTCTGCTAACAGGCACAGGGCCAGGAGGACAGCTTGTGTTTTCTACTCTCTGCACTTAGTCATTCTGGATAAAATTTGGCTGCAAGAGCTGGCCTGACACCTTCACACAGTTAACTAAAAAAACAAACAAACAAACAAAATGAAGTTTATGCCTTGGAGAAAGGAGAGCTTTATTTCTCGTGAAGGGTTCTCGGCTCGCGGGGGCATTCTGGCGGGCTGGGAAGCTCTACTCCGGACGAAGCCAGGAACACGTGTTTCAGGGGAGAGGCAAGAAGGACCGGGATTTTCTGCTGGGCTAGGGTGGCTAAATGTGCGTGTTGAACAAGCTGTAGGAGGAGTCACGGGCCTTTACGAAGAGAACACACGCACGTGTTACTGTGCTCTATACCTCCCGCCACATCATGGCTGGGAACTCAGTGTTAAGGTTTTCTCTGGGGTCCCCTTGACCGAGACCAGGTTGGTTCAGTTGGTGGGGACTCAGGGTTTTATTTTTAGTTCACGACACCGAAGTGCCATAAATGAAAACTTTGCTCCCTGAGACTCCCTCATCCCCATGAGCCTAATCTTCTATTTGTGAAATGATTCCTGATTGCCATGGAGACCGGGACACCTGCAGTGGGGGTGGAACTTTAGGTGGGGTCCAAGGTTCGGTCCTGGGGGTAGGGGATGGGGAGGCAGGTTCCCTGGGCCATCTCTTTAATGGCCTAATTATTCTCGTTCTCACATAATAGTCTCTTCGGTAATTCTTTCCCTAGGGGCCAGGAGACAGGCCTGCCCACGGCCACCCTCCCCACCTTCCCTTCCAAGTCCTGGCCTTCTGACCCCCAGGGGTGCCTCAGCTCAAGGAGGCCCCGGGGCAGAGGTGAGGCGCTGCCTAGCACCCCAGGGGGACCTGCACCCAACCTCACCCTCCGTGGGAATCAGATAAGGGTAGAACTCTGTTTCTAGAACTCTCGGACCTGTTGACCTCCCGTCAATGGAGCAGGCAGGCTGAAATACTCATGAAGCGCCCACTGAATACATTGTCTGTTCTTAGCACCTGAGACCCCTGCGGCCCCCATGGCACCTGCTGCTCAGGAGGCCGAGGCAGGAGGATGGCTTGAGCCCAGGAGTTTGAGGCTGCAGTGAGCTGTGATGATGCCGTTGCACTCCAGCCTGGGAAAGACCCAGTCTTTAAAAAAAAAAAAAAAAGACCCCCAAATCACAGAACCTCTGCACTCATTGTGTGTTGCTGCAAAACAGATCACCCCAAACTGGGCAGCTTACAACCCGTCCTGAGTAGCGCCCAGTCGTGCAGCTCGGCAGGACTGTGTTCTCTGTCCCGGGGTAGAATGCGGGGTCGGCCCTCTCACGTGGGTGATGGAGAGTCTCCTCAGGTGGCAGCCCTCTTGCACTTCAGATCTCTGCCTTCCTCTCCTCCAACTCCAGACCCAGATTTAAAGGGCTCGTGTGTCAGGCGGGGCCCACCTGGGTATTCTCATCATAACAGCCACCAGCTTGGGACCTTAATTACATCTGCAGAACGCTCACGGCAGCACCTAGGTTGTTTTTTGTTTGCGCTGGGAGAAGCTGTGTGTGCACCAGGGGCCGGAAACCCCGGGCCGTCTCAGAACCCTGCCTACCGCCCCTTCCACTCCTCCCCGCTCAGCAGGTCACTGCTGAAGACGGGCACCGGGCAGGGCGGTCTCCAGCTGCTCCCGCCTGGACGAGAGAGCAGCAGGGTAGAGAGTGAGTGAGTCCAGTCTGCTGTCAGCATCTGAAGGGCTAGACTCACTCACACCCCCACATGCGTGCACACCCACACGCACACCCACACACATCCCTGTGCTGTCCTTCCTTTGCGTTTCTCAGTGAGCATATAAGCGGCCTCCAGAGCCTGTCTGGGCAGTCGCCGAGGCTGGGGTGCAGTGTGGTCACAGCTGCCTGCAGCCTGGAACTGCTGGCCTCTGGGACTTCAGGAATGAGCCACCCTGCTGGCCCAAACAGCCTTGATTAAAGCCCCCGGCCCAGCTCCTGGCCTCACCCCTGCCCCAGGGCAGCCCTCGGCCCCCCACTTCTCTTCTCCTCCTCTTCCTCCTCGACATCCTCCGTTCTCCTCCATTTACTACCTGGATCTGCCTGGAACCTTCCAGAGGGAAGATGACTTTTCTCTGATGGAAATCTCTGGGAGGTTTGGGGGAGCGATGTCTGGGGACCCTCCCCGGTCCGTCGACACAGACTCTGGGGACACACAGCCATGAGGTGAAGCGCCTCCTCCTCCGGGGTCGTGGGCGAGGATGTGTCTCACCTGGGCGTGGGGCCGGGTGGCTTCCTGGAGAAAGTGGCTGTGGCTGGGCAGAGGAGGAGGAAGAGCAGGAGGCGGAGGAGGAGGGCTGGGCTGCAGGCTGGCAAGACGCCCCAGGAGGAGGGGGACGGACGTGCAGTCCAGACCGCAGGACCGCAGGTGCCTGGACGGAGGTGGGCCTGACCTGAGATGGGGCAGAGACCAGCGAGAGGGAGGGGCCTTTCCCCAGGGCAAATCTGCCGGCAAGGGGCCCGGGGGGCTTCAGGGCTGGAGTGAGAGAGTCGGAAGCTTATTTGGAGCCACCGGTTGCTTAGGGAGAGGCAGGAGGGGCTGCAGGGAAGGAGGGAGGGAGGCCTGGACACATAGAGCCTCTTCAAGCCCTTCCCCAGAGTGGAGGAAAGCAGCGGTCTGTGCTGGGGCTTGAGAGAGATTGGGGACAGAACCCAGTGCTCAGCCCCCGACGTGGCGGTGATGGAGACCCAAAGGCGCGGGGTGCGAGTGGGTCTGGGTCAGACGGGAGGTCAGGACACTAGAGGCCCCCACATTCTACCTGCTGCTTTGGGGCCCCCCAGGCACCCGAGGGGCCGGCCTGGGGGCTGGATGCACTGCTCTGGGTTTCAGCACAGTGGGCGGAGGGGCACAGGGACAGCAGGAACGGCAGACACAAAAACAAGCCCTGCCCACCCCCAGCTCCTCTAATACGGTGAACTCACATTAAGACCCAGAGTCTACACGATACGATCTGCCCTCTGCCCTGAACCCTCCAGCTCTGAGGAGGGATGAACAGCCTCCCCGAGCTTTCAGCCTGCTCATCGGGACACGGATGAGATTTCCTACACCCCGGACTGGTGTCGAGGGTTAAGGGTGAAAACGCATGTCACGCCCTGAGGACCAGACTCAGCAGAAGCGAGTGTTAAAAACACCCCATGTAGGCCGGGCGCGGTGGCTCACGCCCGTAATCCTAGCTCTCTGGGAGGCCGAGGAGGGCGGATTGTTTGAGCTCAGGAGTTCGAGACCAGCCTGAGCAAGAGCGAGACCCCGTCTCTACTAAAAATAGAAAGAAATTAATCGGACAGCTAAAAATATATAGAAAAAATTAGCCGGGCATGGTGGCACATGCCCTTAGTCCCAGCTACTCGGGAGACTGAGGCAGAAGGATCGCTTGAGCCCAGGAGTTTGAGGTTGCTGTGAGCTAGGAAGACGCCACGGCACTCTAGCCTGGGCAACACAGTGAGACTCTGTCTCAGAAAATAAATAAATAAATAAATAAATAAATAAAAACGCCCCATGCAATTATGACTATACAAGTGTCCATGGGTGCAAACCCTCCTCACCCTCTGGACCCTGTCTGACATCCCAGAGCCCTGCAGACAGGCGTAGGGTCCTGGGGGTCAGAAGAAAACCTTCCTTCCACCTCCCTGCTGCCGACACCGAGTTCTCGGGGGGCGGGAAACAGACGCCCCTGACCACCAGCTGGCAGGAGTCC